CCTTGAATGTTTTGCAGCTCCTTTGAAAGTATAAAGATGCGGATAAAAAAGTACATGATGTACACTTTAACAATGCATGTTTTTTGCACCGTATCATTAATTTCGGATAATATCTATCTCTGATCACACAGCATGTTCACTGATTCGAATGTCAATTTGGTTGTTATGACAGCTCGGTTGGACTTTGTCGCATCATAGAATACCCACTAGAATCGAGCATGTTTTTAGTTCTGTCGAGATTCGCCCCATCATAACCACATTAAATTTGGCGAAATCTTCAATTACTTCAACTTGTTTTCTTAGCGGCAGATCAATATCGCGCGCAGCTCGAGCGCCTCCAAGGTTATGACAGTTTACGTGCCAAAACAATCATATCATTAGGAGGCACGCCGTTGCGTGAGGCTGCAGAATAATTTCGGCAACTTGAGGTTTTTTTAACGTTTTTCTAAATATATTTGAAGTGTAAGGCGCGACGACAACAGACAAAGGGTGCACACACACCAAGCGTCACTTCTGTTCACGTTTAGCGTCATACCAACGTACACGTCAAATATGCAGCACCCAATACACCCTGCCTTCTATTCTTGAAACAAAATCTAAGCGCATTGTTACTGCGTTCAGCTACCATAGAATTGCACTTGGAGTATGCGGGAATTGAACTCGTGACTTCGTTGCTAACATCGCATTACCTCTGCGTGCTAACTTATCGGTGGGTGTTACCTGCAAGGCCTGTGCGTATTAACACTTAGCGCAAACCCGCAGCACAATTCTGTATACACTAAGTGATTAAGAGAGATCTAAAGCCATCAGACAAATAAAACACTTGTAGGGCTCACAGTACGGTATTTTAAGAGTTGTGTATTAAGCTAGCAAGCTCCGCCGCTTTCGCACTACCGATGAATGTCTTGGAGAGCCTGAGACCATTCGCGTAATGTACAGCGGTTGCCTATTTGCTGTAGTTTCAGTTTACAAACGCGATTTCTTTTGGTATAACTCCGGCCATCTAGTGTCTTTCAGCTAATAGTTTCTACTAGTGTGCACGACTAAAATATTTCAAAGCAATGAAACTGCGGGGTATCGACGTATTGCCACATCTAATAATGAGCTCTTTGCTTTGTGCACTGCTTGCATTACAAACGGTAGAACTTGACGGGCAGTTTTTAGGTCTTTGTCAAATTTAAACTTTTGTCGCAGCTAACAATGTAGCATTAGCGTGTGCCTGCTTTTCAGTATGATGAAGGAGCGGTGTCTATAGCGTGAAAAATGAGTTATAAGCACCTCAAGAAACACGTTTTCTGTGTGCGCAATGCGAAAACCCAGCAAGCGTGGCCCGTCCGAGCGACCGGTGCTTTCCTCTCTTTCCGCTAGGGCAGTCAATGCGCAGACTTGAGCCTGTCTTCCCTAGGTGTTCCACGGTTCGAACGCTTCAGCAGATTGAAATTTAGCAATGTTCAATCTGTAAGATTGAAGCGTGTTCTGAACGGCACTAGAGACATCTTCAACGTCAGATACACGAAGAAGTGTCGCTTTATAGTTGAACATAATTTTCATGAATCTCTGTACGACTTGAATTATGCGCGAACGCACAGGCTTTTATTACACGTAAATTCACCAGTGATTATGAAACTCCCTCGTGTCAATTCAGAGCACAGTTTTTTGTTGAGGCAATGCCACCTGTGCTAAAAGTCCTCGCTATCCGCAGTTCAAGCTTTGCAACGTTCTTTGCATATTGCCAAAGGCACTGCCTGTGCACGAGCGCTCCGCATAGCAACCTGTGCTTCGCAGGCTCAATGAACTGAGCGAAATGCCGACATCTACTTTACAACCCCTTCTGTCACGATTTATGATGTGGTGGCGGAAACGCGTCATATTCGCGTGACATAATTCCGAGGCACTCAGTATTTTATTACAAGTAAGAAAGGGAAGGAAAGCGTTGCTCCGTCCGAGCCCTGTTAATTTAATGTAATGGATGGATGAATGAACTTTGTGTGATCCTTCGGAACTTGCTTTAGCACGTTGCGGGCCACTCCCACGTCGGAACAGAAAGACTAAGTCTCTCAGGTGGGTAGCGGGCCCGGTGGCCCATAGCTGTTGTTCGAGTCCGGAACTTGGAATAGCACCCTCCGGTTTGAATGGCGTGATGACTTCTCCACAACGTAACGTGGGGCACCGCCAGAGCATATGCTCCAAGGTAGCTATATAGTCAAAGAAGGAGCATGTATTAGTTGACAGTATTTGGGGATAAATTTTGTATAATAGCGCGGGATAAGGGTGCGCCCCGACCTGAAGAACTCTGAGTGTCAGAGCCTGAGGTCTGCTTAGTTTTCCGTGTGGGGGAGGGTGTTGTCTCCACGCCAGGTAAAAATATTTTGTCAGTTCATTATACGAGATGGGAGGGTCATGGTCCTCTAAGAGATCAGCGCCGTGCCCCAAGATTGCTATGTGATTTACTAGTCCTCGCGCAGCTATGTGGGCTGACTCGTTAAGATTCGGCGGGGCTCCCTCAGTGCGTCCCATATGAGCTGGGAACCAAACGTGCGTGTTTGGCTCGATATCTTTGTCCCGAAAATTTCCTAAGCTTGTTTTATTATTGTTCGCTTGGCAAATGCTCAGACCACCGATCTCGAGTATCTGTAAATTGTGGACCTACAGTTATCCGGCATGGCCAACGCAATCGCCAGTTGCTCTGCTATTTCAGCCACCGTCGTCCGGGCCGTTGTCGAGTTGGTAATCCTGCCCTCGTGGTTCATTCTCACTGCCGCATTCGCCGTCCCCTCAGGATATCGGGCCGCATCAACGAAGGAGCAGTCCCAGCACGTTCTTGAGCCCTTTGTTCTACAGCCTTTTCCCTGGCCCATCTTCCACAGTTGTTATGCTCGGGGGGGGGGGGGGGACGACAATTTGTGGGATGGGTACAAAGGTAATTTGTTCTCGTTGTTGATGAGAAATGCTGCATAAGTGAGACTTGATCTCCATTGGTGGAATCCCTAGCTCCCGCAGGAGGTACTACCAGAACGCTCGGTGGACAGCCTGGCGAATTGCTACCTCTCCCGTGCCTCTACAGTTTCTTTCAGCGTGTTGTACATGCCGAGACGAAACAATCTATCCATGCTCGTGTACAAGGGAATCACGAGAACTCTATTGATGACATTTCTGATTAACGTGTTGAGAGTTTAAGTTAATGACTGTGTAACTAATGAATGTGTAATTATATAATTATTCCTGCAGCAGTCAGCTTCAGTAATTACATAAAAATAATCCACTATCAGGCCTGAAATGCATGCGAAGTTTGTTTTTCGGCTGTACTTGTTTCAAACGAAGGAAAATAAAACTTTTTCACGCAGTTCTTAGAATTCTTCACGTCAAACAATCGTCGAACACGGCACTGCTTCCAGCAAAGTGATCCTCAGCAGCAGTACACAGCATAATGAAAGTTAAATAATCGCAATCTGTCCACTCAGGAGGCCTGCATGAATGTGCACACTAAGTTTCAAGCAATTTGGTGAAACACGTGGTGCGTGACGCGCCATTGAAGTTTGCGTCTCCATTTGTAAACAGTGTGTCTGAAAAGGGTTCACAAGAAAAGGCAGTCGCCTGCCAGCTGTGCATGCGCACGAGCTCCGACCGAAGAAGCAGTGGCGGTTCAGGTCAGTGGCTTGCTATATCGACAGACTCCTCGTTACTTGTCATTCATCTTCATTCGCCTTATCAATTACACCGGCTACTCCAGCGGTGAAAACCACTCAACGCAGAATAGCGTGCCTAAAAACTGGGCTCCAAAAGCCCAGTGCATTGCGTACAACGCCGTGAACTGGAATTGCCGAACACAGCTCTGGAAGTCCGTTTCTTGATGCTTTGAACACATCTAATTCTCTCTACTCTTCATTAAACTTGTATATCAATTTGTTTGGACTATCTAGATTTTGGATTTTTGTTTAGAATAGTTAATTTTATGAATAAACGGTGCGTGCCTCACCACAGCTCTGAAAGCGTAAATGTTGCATTACGTTACTGAAGTGGTTTCTCCAAGTTTTTGTTTTCTCGTCAAGTTATGCTTTTTTTTAGAATTAAATAATAGTGAAGTCCGAAGGGATGTGCCTCCTTTCTATGAAGTATGTACGTCATCACGCCATGAAAATAATACTTTTCATTTCCCTTGCATGAGACGTTCACAATCTTTGCCTTAGAACGAATACACAATTGAGGACATTAGCCAGAGCAAACATGTTCCAAATTGTTATTTTCTTCAATTTTATTCCCATCAATCTCTCCACCACGTACAGTGAAGACTAAGCGGAATTGTTAAATACTTATTGCAGTAAAATATTTATTTATTAGAGTGCTATGTTTCACCTTATCAGCAATAATTTGTGTATTTGCGTCTACAACCATTGAGCGCACTATGTTCGCCAAATTATTTATTTTAAGCCTTTTCCGAAGCTTACTAGAGCCTTATAACGTCAACCGGTACACCGATATATTTTTCTGTTTTTCGCGTATATTCTTGTGCAATAAATATGTAATAATTTTACAATATTAGAAGTGATGTGAAACTCTAACAAATAGTGGAAATCAAATTTATAGCTAAAACTTTCCTAACTGAAATGTGTTGAATATCCCGCCCCCCTATTGGGAACATTTAGGAACTAATGCAGTTTGGCGGCGCTTTCAGAATTCAAATAATAAACGCTTTCAGCTTTTCGCCTTCTTTTGCACTGCTTCCAGGATGTTCCCACCTTTGACCAATCAGTAACGTCAGGTGTTGACGTTACAATATAGTGGCACGTTTTTTGACGTCACATTGACAATTGAAATTTTTGCCTTTTGTGACGTCATGATGAAGCTAAAAGGTGACGTCATCACTCGATGATCATTTTCGTATCACTGTTGTTGATGCCATATACTTGGGACGCCGGTCAGATTTTACGCTTGATGGGAATTCTGAGGCTTTCTTTTTATTAAAGTATGTGGTATTGTTTTCCAACTTTAGTTGATATTTGTTTTCCAATATAAGCAGATTTTAATACGTCCATTGAATACAAGTAGCGATCACGAAAGCATAATGAGCCAGAGAGCGTATTTTAATCAAGAGTGTCACGTTGACGAAGTCTTGTGCGCTGATGAGGAAAGGGTAATCTTAGAACCACGGTCAAAACTCCTCTTTTTCTTGTCATGGCAGACGCTATACACAGCAAGACTCATCCAGAATTCTCTTGCAGTTTTTTCATAGGCTATCTGAAAGACAAAGATATACGAATATTGGTGAGTGCTAGTGGAACCCCCTCCCCCCCAGTCTAGTTTACTTCGTTAGGGGGCCGTAAAGAAAGTTACAACTTTTTTCCTGTTAGTGGATAACTGCTTCATGGCTTTATTATCCCCTGTGCTTGCCTCCAAAACATGCTGGGTCAGCAAGAAAATGAACAAAAGTGAAATACGGCTGGTGACGCCACATTAAAATTTTAGCAGCACATGCATGACGTCAAAATTTCCGACTGCACCCACTAGGTCCTACGTTCCTTCTAATCAGTAAAAAGGATGCGCTGTCAGAACTTAGGGGAAAAATAAGCTTCAAATACCAAGTTTCTGCAAATTTCGTTTGGCATTTCTCAACTAAACACAAAAGTTTTCAAATGGCTTGCCTCACTCGTGACAGTTTATGGTCTAAAATTTAAAATGACACTCTCACTGACAGTAAAACAGCGCCACAAAAAACGACAAATCCGACGAAGAGGGTGACACATAAGTACTCGTTCTGTACAAATACCAAATAAATTGAGTTGTTTGTGTGCCTTGCTTACGTGTCTTTTTCTTCGTCTGGTCTGTAGTTATCGCTCGCAACTTTGTTCTGCGACTATAAACCAAGTAGTCTAAAAGTATATTTGACTCTTTGAATAATAAATTTTTAAGGATGTCATTAGCGTTTTCATATCTTTCACGCGAGTATTTAGGAATTTATGCCTAGTCAATCTTTTCCTAAAAGTCTCTTTAGTTGCGGCTTAAGTAATTATTTTTACCTCACGCCTCAAACAAGAAAACTGCCTTATTTCAAAATTAAAATTTATTCGTTCATACAGTCAGCAGAAAGGCTCCTATTGCTTTCAAAAGGCGCAATAAAAGACGACAAACGAATGTAAGTGAAAGAAATGAAGCCATTTTGTATTCAGCCGTCACCACAGTCATGAGTGCAAATAAGATAACATAGTTACAGTTCTCAGTGCTACACAAAGTAAAAAAAAAATGTTACAGTAGTCTGAGACGATGTTTTAGAATCACTTGATTTCAAGCAAATGGTCAGAAGAGCTGTAATTTAACCAATTTGTGAGGTTGCTTTATGCAAAAAATAACTCTAAAATGTTGGGACTACGACTTACATGAAATATGAATATCACGAGACCCTGCAGTGAGCTGCTTATGACGAACAGATACTCAAAAACATGACCCAACTCCTGTGATGCTGCTTGTATAAGACTCAGGTAGGCGAAAATCCATGTAAGCCCTGTGAGCAAAAGAGAGTACAGGCGTCAGACAAATAGGGTAAAATGGCACAACTTTGTAAAAATGTTTATGGCGTTAAAAATCTCCGTTACCTATGAATACTTACGACTACAGTAATTGATGTAAGAGATAGGTTCCAAGAGGTCCAAAGCAGACGTTTTCTATGACTAACAAAGTTTCTCTTCTTCTTTTTTCATTTCAGTGCAAGACAACTGGGACACCCTTTAACGAACGATATACCAATGGCAGGATAAAGTGAAAATCATGATGGCAAGAGCTTGAAGCAAAGAAACATGGCCCGGATTCACAAAACTCACTTACGAAAACATTTTTGCGCAAGAGAAATTTTGTTGCGTAAGTCGATTCACGAAACGAAAAAAACGTCGTAAGAGGCCATAGTTGTCACATCGGCCACTGCAAATAAAGCGCGCTGTGACTGCTTGGGAACATGTCAGCGATGGTGAGGCAGTTGCTATATTTGCTTACGTCACTGAAAAGTGCTCGTAAGTGGATTCACGAAGCGAAATTGTGCGTAAAAACCACATGGCTGAGAGAAAATCCCACGAGTGGTCCGGACCACTCTTAGGAACAGTGTGGCTACTTAGAACCTGCTGCCGCAGCGGTATACTTTGGTGCCCTGGCTGGTTTTGAGTTAATTCACACCCATTAAGGGCTGCCTGATGACTGCTGGTGCGTTTTTATTTCTTTCGGCGCTTTGAGCTTCGCGTGTTGTTTCCCTTGTACGCAGTGGATGGTGTTGACAACCACCACCGTCCAATAAGTTCGAAGTTGCAGTAATTGAAGAATTCTATTGGGCGTCAATGGCATAAAACTACGCATGTAAAGATTTGTGGTTGGATGAAAACCAATGTGATACGTGAATGGTCGGTGCATTCGAACGCGACATGACATAGGATCAACCTTATTTGTTATGTTGTTGTGTTGCGCCCCATCTCATCCAATCAAAAGTGCGACTCGAGATCTTTGCCTCATTGGTGGAAATTACCACCAAAGAGGTTAACGGGAGCACATTCTTTGCACGCTATTGGAAATAAAAATGAGAGGAAGTTTTCAGTGAGTGGTTCATTAAGTTTGTGCTCTAGTGTACTTTCATTGGCTCTAACTGTCCAATGGTTGCGATCTCTGAAATACAGCTGTCGATACACTTTGGGACGATCTGGAACAAAGCGTACTTTGTAAACCAAAGCCTATTTGGGGTGCGCGTGATTACGCATGGAACTACAAACAAATCATGCATCTTCACCGTCACTGTTCAGACACCGATATGGACCATGATAATATGGCAAGCAATCGGAATAAAATGACCCTAGTAACTTTGTATGACACCAAAAATATGCAAACCCTCACGATTCTGGAGCAAACCTTGGCTGAATTCATCCCTGCGTCAATTACCAGCCATTTAACTTGGCGCACGAACATCATTCAAAGGTAGAGCGAGCCACTGACATGTATTTTCTGCGACGCAGCGGCCACTTGACCTGAGAATAATAGCGTTGCGAAGGCGAATCCCCTGTCGCATGCTCTGATCGAAGCAGACGAAAAACGCGAGCAGACGACGGCTTGGCCGTCAAGCACAGCTTGTGATTGGTTGTGAAGCAATACCCTCTACATCAGCTCACTCCGTGACGTTGCCAAAACACTTCTTTCATCTGGCACGCCTGTCCTGTTCGTCATATCACCCCCCTCGCACATAAGAGAAATTTTTTTCACGCCGTGAAAATAGTGCAAGTACTTTCTAAGAGCTCTCTTACGTGCGGTGCAGTTGTCGAAAACAACATGGCGTCGTAAACAGCATATTGGTCGGTGCGACTTTCAGCAAATGCTTCTCGCACGAGTTACTTCAGCGTTTGACCGGATGTGTTGTGATTACAGCAGCTCTATCAGTGCGTGTGAGCAGTGCGGAAAGCTGTGGCAGTGCAATGGTGTACGGTGAAGCGCAGCGAAGCCTGTGCGTCGGTGTGGTTATCAAGCGGGGATCGGCGTCGATGTATCGACGGCAACTATCACTCGAGAAGCCTGCAATATGTGTTTGTGTGCCGGTAACAGTTCGTTCGCTTGACTTTCCAGTCTCTCAGTTGGGTGCTGTGCGACATTTCGGATTGACAGCGTTTTGACACGTTACTTGAGTGAACCCAAGTACGTACGGAAACGTATGAACTACGCGCTCGGTTCTTGCTTCGCCACTAGTTAGCCCGTACGCTTCTCTTTACTTGAGAGCGATGTACTGTTCGGGAGTGAAACGATGTTCGTTGTGAACAGTGGTGCTGTGTTGACGTTCCAAGACTTGTGAACAAGCTGTGCTCGTGTGACCGAAAATTGAAAGACAGCGTTGATAACTGTTTTGCCCGGCGAAGTTGTGGTGGGGCAGCTTGGCGCTTTTGTTTATTAAGTCGTCACTTCTCCTTTTTGTGGTAACCATAGTCCTAGCGCTGTGATGTGATCAACCAAAACTGCAAGATGCTACATTCTGTTGTGGATCGTGTTACTTTGGAAGCGCGCCAAGACTGTTCTTCGGTAACAACTTGAGAGTTCTGTGTGGCAGCGAGAGCCCGTGAACGTCAAGATTCCCTTCGGCCCCCAGAAAAAGCAAAGATTTCACCGGTGCCATGCTTTGGATGAAGTATTAGGCCAATATCGCCTAACTACAGGTTTCCGAGTTCGTCTGGCCATCGTTCTTCACGGCACTAGAGCCTTGACAACAGCCGGTCATGGCCAGTTCTTACACTTTATCAATGGACGTGCACGCCTGGCCAGCCCTTCATTGCTGTCATTGGCAGCTTCCAGTCTGCAGATGCCCTTTGCCTGTTGGCCGTACTTGATTCCTCATGACACCGAAGGCTACTAAATGCTGCCATCGGTGAGTTCACCTTGCAGAACTAAATTTCACCAGTACTATAATTCATGCAGTTCTATAACGTGTGCAAGTTTTTAAGCCCATCAGATATAATGTTTCTCTATGGTAAGTTGAAGCATGAAAAATATACCACTACTGTTATATACATACATATATTATGGAGCAAATACATAAAAAGTTTTTTGTGATTTGATACAAGTGAGCTCTTGTTTGATTATGAGGTTGGGCCTGTCGATTGACCACGTTTGATAGTTGGAAAGTTAATGTGAATGTATTTTTCAGAAGCCAGGTTGCACTTAAAAAATTTACGTTATTTTGGAAAATTGATTCTATAGACGATTACCACTGTGCTAGTACTATACTTCAGTAGGACATATATATTGCGGTGCGTAAAGTTTACATGAGGCTTCAGTTTATTTCTAAGTGATTATAGCAGATTTTGGTCACATTAACGAAGTGATAGCTTCCTCAAATAAGTATTAGAAGTGAGTGCTTTAATGATTGTTTTTAAATATCTCGTTTTTTGCTCTTCACAGATCGCAGAGATTGGTTTGTTAAGGTCCTGTGATTCATCGGTTGAACATTCTGGCACATCAATCCTCATCATTACTTGGAGCACCTGTACAAAAATAGGAAGGACGCGTTCTCCCTAACTAAGCAAGCCTATGTCACTGCTGGGACTGTTATCATTCAGCGGATGGGGCGTGGAAGCATGCATGGCAGCCTCATCTGGAAGGACTGCGATATGCTTGGGAGCTTCGAGCGCACAAAACTGCCTAACGGCCGGCTGCAAGATTAGTTTTTCTTTAATACATACGATTATGTGAACACCACTTACTGTGCACAAATTGAAAACCCAAGCATGGTTGCTTTCAGTGGATACCTGTAATATTCTTACACATAATTCTTATTCAACATTTATAGAACTAAATTGCAAGATAATTGAGAATGTTGGAAACTGAAAGCCTGCAGCTTATGAATGAAACTCCAATAATCTGAGGCTCAAAAGCTTGTGCTTTGAAACGAGCACAAATACTTTGATTCCTTAATGAGCTCTCGAGCTTGTGACTCCCTCTGTGGATCAAGTGCTCTGGAAGGAAATAGCAAGTGGGTGAAAATTGCCTGGCTGTTCACAACTTGTAAGGAGAAAGACCTATTTAAGAAGCTTCAGATGACATAGGGTCATTAACTGCATATTTTACCTAATGTAGCTTTTTCTCTCTCAGTGCTGTTGCTTATGTTTCAGCCGAACATGTTCACCACGATTGCATAGTGATATATATTTTTCTACAAATTGTACCTGACCTAAGTATGCATTGTTGATCTCTAAAGGTGACGTTCAGTGTGTTTCAAAGCCATGGCTTCTCATTTCTCTGTCTGTGGCTAGCCTATTTCAGCAGCAGAGTGATGCAGCTAGCACACATGCAATCCAAGTCACGGAGCACTGCTTTGGTGTTCTGTGCAGGACGCAGCATATCCATCCGGCAAGACACTGGTATCAACAATAATGGTGAGTGTTGGTGGCACCTGTAGGAGCCCGTTGTGTTTGTTGCGTATGATTATTTCCCCTGATGAAGTGCATTTTTGAAAGGTTTTCTTCATTTAGAATAATAGATGTCAGCAACAAGCACACTCATAATCCACAAGTTCTTTGTGTCTTCTAGACTGCCCATTTGCTCCTATACGCAGTACGGTGAGCTGGTTATGTTAGACAGCCTTAAAGTTAGGAACATTGGCTGTTGTGTTGTAATGCAGTCTAACTTGTATTTCTTAGTGAACTTATTTGTGGTCTGCTTCTCGCACCTAGTGTAAAGTCAAAATAAAAGAAACCTTATTGGCTTTTTATGTCTGGCAGAAGTTTCATGCCTTCATCTATAACATTGTAGTTTTGCTCTTGTATCATAATAAATATATTTTCAGTCTTCACTGTTTGTGTGTGTGTGTGTTGAGGCTTGTCATTGGCTTCTGAAAATACAATTTCTGTAAATATGAGCACATAATTGACAACTATACAATCTTTCATGTAGCATGGTTGTAACAATGATCTGTATTTTTCTAAGTTCCAGCAGTAACAAGGGGTTAGGTGCTCCACGGTCATGTACAGTGTATCAAGAACAGAGCACAGA